GTGACCGGATCTGTTTCTTTTTTAAGGCTGACTAGGATTCCATTGTATGTATACACCACGTTCTCTTTAACCAGTTACTCACCAATGGGCATTTAGGTTGTTTCCATAGCTTGGCTATTGGGCATAATGCTGCAAATGAACATGGGTGTGCCGATATCTCTTCAAGATCCTGATTTCAGTTCTTTTGGATAAATACCCAGGCATGGAACTGTTAGATCATATGGTGGTTCTATTTTTAATTTTTGAGGAACCTCCGTATTTTTTTCCATAGCAGCTACACCATTTTACATTTCCTTCCTATTTTAGTTGTTTGCTCTTGCAGCATTTGCCCTAGCTGACTGCTCATTCCTTCTGGAAACTCCTTCCTTTGTGCCCTAGGGCGATGCCCTGGCTCCTCTTCCTCTGCTTCCTCGTGGAGTAGATCCAGCTGCTCAGTAGGTATTTCCATCTGAATGTCCCTCTGTTTACCTCTATTTCTACATGCTCAAAGAACTCGTGATACTGTCTTCTCCATGCCAAGTATATTAGTTTGCTAGAGCTGCTGTAACAAAGTACCACAAAGTGGGTGGCTTAAAATAGAGAAATGTATTGTCTCAGTTCTGCAGGCTAGAAATCCAAGATCAAGGTTGGCAGAGTTGTTTCCTTCTGAGGGCTGTGAGGACGGATCTGTTTCATGCCTCTCCTAGCTTCTGGTGGTTTGCTGGCAATCTTTGGCATTTTTTGGCTTGTAGAAGCATCACCCTGATTTCTGCCTTTTATGTTCACATGGTGTTTTCCCTGTGTGAATGTCTGTCTACAAATTTCTCCTTTTTATAAGGACACCAGTTATACAGAATTAGGGTCCACTGTAATGACCTCATTTTAACTTGATTACCATTGTAAAGATCCTATCTCCTAATGAGGTCACATTCTAAGATACTTGGGGTTGGGACTTCAATGTGTGGATTGGGAGGGAGGCAAGATTCAACCCATAACACCAAGCAGACTTTTTTACAGATATTTCTAATCTCAGTGAATGGAACCAATGTCCACCATGTTGCTCAAGCAGAAGTGTGGGCATCATTTTTATCACGTCACTTTCCCTTATAGTAATTGGAGTTCAGAGCTCACAAAAATTGGAGGCAAAATTTTGGAATAGGAACCATAACATCCAGCAGATTGCCAAAGAGATCTGTGAGCCCCAAGTGGCTGACAACCTCAACTCCACATCTTTTTCTTTAAGTGTCACCCACCTTGGTACAAAAGTAACATATGTATAAATTTTAGAAAAGTATACAAATGAAATTTAAAATTATGCTATTATCCAGTTACCCAGAATTACTTTGCATGTTTTATGCTTTTTTTCTTTTTTTAAATATATCTTTATTGATTTCAGAGAGAGGAAGAGAGAGAAAGAGAAACATTAATGATGAAAGAGTTATCATTGATCGACTGCCTCCTGCACACCCTNAGAAACATTAATGATGAAAGAGTTATCATTGATCGACTGCCTCCTGCACATCCTTGACTGGTNGAAAGAGTTATCATTGATCGACTGCCTCCTGCACACCCTTGACTGGGGATAGAGCCCGCAACCTGGGCATGTGCCCTGACCAGGAATCGAACCTCAATCGCCTGGATCCTAGGTCGATGCTCAGCCGCTGAGCCATGTGCCGCTGGGCTGTGCTTTTTTTTTTACTAGTTGGGTAATACTCTATGTAAGATACTGAATCTAACTTGTAAAATTCAACATTAGATCATAAGTGGTTTCCCATATCTTCACAACATCTTCATAAATAGTTTTAAATGGTGCATTTTATTTCATCAAATGGTAGACCGTGATTGACTTAGATATTTTATTATCCCATTGTCAAACCTGCAAGTGCTGCCTATTTTTGACTTTTACAAATAATGCTGCAACAACCTTTGCTATTAATTACCAAATAAGTAATTTGTTCATAATTCAGATGTGATTCAGCTGAGGGTGAGGGAGAGAGATGGACACAGTGTCTTTAAGCAAGTTATTAATGTAAATTGAAGGAAAACAAAATTTATCTACGTTAACAAATGATTTAGGCATTATTTGTGAATAGTTACTTGTGAATTAAAATTAACACTTGAAATGTGGTTAGTGCAACCAAGGAACTGAATTTTTAATTTTACCTAATTTTAATTAACTTAAATTTAACTAGCTATTTGTGGCTGGTGGTTACCATATTGCATAGTGCCGTTCTGTCAAGATTATGACTGAACACTTATGTAGTGCTTAGTGGCTTAAAACAACAGTCATTTATTTTGTTTAGGAATCTACAGTTTGGGCAGAGTTCATCGGAAACAGCTCATCTTTGCTCCATGGAGCATCAACTGGGGCTGTAGGATCTATTTCTAAGATGGCTTAGTTACAAGATTGGCAGATTGATGACTGTTACCGGTTTCTCTCCTCAGGACAGCATGGGCTTCCTAACAGCATGGTGGCTGGGTTCCAAAAGCAAGTGACCCCAGAGACAGGATGTGGAAGCTGACAAAGGATCTCTTCCAACCTACTCTATTGCTCAGGCAAAACACAGTGTATATTCAAGGGGAGGAGTTATAGACCTTACCTCTCCATGGGAGCTGTACTTAATCATTTGGGGCCCTGTTTTAAAATCACCATAGAATGGTGCCATCATTTTGATTCCATTTTACAGATAAGGAAACTGAGCTCAGAGCACTTAAATAACTTGCCCAAGATGACAAGCCTAGTAAGTGGCCAACCTGTTATTTATGTCAGTCAATCTTGACCTTTTAACCTCAGTGCCTATATTGCATCTCTCCTGTAGTTCATGTTTCATTCATTTAGATTGATTTCTTCTCCAGTTTTTTTTATGGTAGAATAATTATGAGATTGTGACTGATACATGGTTGTAAGTCACAAACACTGTAAATATGTAGTATTTGCAAGGGTTTGCTAGATGTCAAATAAATGATGAAGACATGTGGAGGAGCTGTTTGGCTCCAGTTCTCAGCTCCTCTGCTTCCATCCCTGTTTCTTGCTGCTCTCCAAAGACAATTGATCTTTCTCAGATTGAAACAGTCTGATTCTGAGTAAACCCTCTCAGGCTTCACCCCCTGCCTGCTTCACCTATTCCCAGTGTATGGAATCTGTGAGTAAAAAGGAATCAATAAATAAAACTTATTTAGAATTATAAAAGGAGTTAAAGAAATGCTTCTGGGTTTCACTGAAAGTAAGGCTTGAGCCAAACCCTCATTTAGGTGATATATTTGCATATGTTTAGTGTGTGCATTCATTCATTCATTCATTCATTCATTCATTCATTCATTATGATTCTTGGAAGAGAAATCAGAAAAAATATAAGTTGAAAAATACAGGTTAACAAATATATAGGTTATCTGAAATTCTAGAGGTTGTCTGATAATGAATGCAGCTTTCTACAAACCTAAGAAACCAGCACTTTCCTTTCATGTTCAGGTTCAGAGATAATGGATATTTCTATGTGAAAGAGAGATAGCCCTTTGTTCTATGCTCCATGATTTGCAAATTAAGCTCCTGTTTGATATGTTTGCTGCGCTGATGAAATGTATTTGCCCCTCATGTAATCATTACAACACAGATTCTTTTTTCACCGAAATACTCTTGAGAGAGTTCGAAATTAAATGTACCCAGCTTTCCAATTGTGGGGTTTCTTAAGCAACATGTGTGAATCTTTTTGATGTAGAAAACCTCATTTTATCACTTCATAATCTGAGTATTTCAAATGATGAGACTTCATTTCCATCAGAGCCCATATTTTTCTTCAATCTTCATTCTACCTGACCCCCTCCTTTGTTTGATAATCTCTCTGCATTTTGTGTCCATGAACTGGCACTTGGCTGGTGTTCTACACCATCGGCTCTTTGTTATCATAATTGGCCATATCTTACTTAGGTTACTTACTTTCCTACGTAGGAGCCTAACTGGCACCCAGCTGGCCTGCTCAGATATCCCACTGCCTCTGGTGTAAGTCCACACTTTGACATGTCTAAAAGCAGATTTCTTCTTTCCTCCCAGAGATGGCCCCTTCCCACCTGCCCTGTTTTTGAAGTCATAAAAATAGGACCCCACTGTCATTGTTTTTCTTTCTGCTGCCCCATGCATAACTTCCATGGCATTTGTCCCAGTCTGTCATGATCTGCCCACGTGCTGGCTTGTTTGGTGGCTGTTCCCAGTGCTACCCTCTAAGCTTCAGGATGGCACTGGCCAAGCTGTTATTTGTCAGTCTCTACCCAGCTGCCAGCACGGAGCTCTTCGCGTAATGGGCATGCCGTAAGTGCTAACCTGGATCAGTGAATGAGTAAACAAGTGCATAGGCTTTCATTTTTATGTTTGTGCCCCTGGTCCAAAATCTTAATGCCGTCCTGGATTTTCCCCCTTTCCATTTTGTGCATCTGTCAGTTTGCTGAATCCTCCGAGGAAGCTCCCTGAGACAGGGGCCTTTGTTCTTCTTGCCCAGCGATATGTCACAAGTGCCTTGCATGGTGCTTGGCATGTGATGAGCATTTCCTGCGTTGCAGAAATGGTTCTAAATGTTTCCTATGTATTGATTTATTTCATCTTCGTAACAACCCCAGAAGGGGGGCGTAGGACTATTAGTATGGCCATTTCACAGTGAAGCCGAGCCATTGTTCTTGTCATTGTTCAGTGCCACACAGCTGCTAAGAGGTGGTGCCGGCACATGAACCTGTGCTCATAATACCGCCCAGTGATTATGTGTTTGCTCTGTGCTGGGCCCTTCACTAGCTGAACTTTTATTCCCCGCTGCATAGGTCCCCTTACAGATAAAGAAGCAGAGGGTGGCTTGTAGAGGTTGTAGAAAGAGTTATTCAGGGTGGAACCCAGCTTATGAGTAGCAGCGACAGGATGGCACTGTGTTAGCCCAAACCTGGGCCGTCACCCTGTGCTCCTGAACTGCCAGACCCACCAGTGTCTGCATGGCCCGTGGCCTTGGGAGCAGACTCAGATTTAACGTGAACATGTCCCAAGGTCCTGGGGTTTTATCTGACACAGCCATGCATGTTCTTCCTCCAGACAATGGTGGCAGCCACACACTGCACTCCAGAACGGAGACGACACCATCGCCCACTGACAACACTGGGAGCGGACACCCGGAATATATTGCGTATGCGCTTGTCCCCGTGTTCTTCATCATGGGTCTCTTTGGTGTCCTCATCTGCCACCTGCTTAAGAAGAAAGGCTATCGTTGTACAACAGAAGCTGAGCAAGATGTGGAAGACGCAAAGGATGAAAAGATAGGTGAGTAATCCGGATTCTTTTTATGGGAGTGTGGGTGGGGACGATTTTTAAATAAGAAACCAGGTGTACACACACATACGTATATATATTCCATCTCTGTGAGGCAAGATGATCCATGTTAATAGCAGGTGGTATGGTAAGTGACAGTGTGGATGTCACAGTAACCACACCTAGCGTTTGAAACCTGGCTTTCATTTATTGAATACCTACCAGGTAATTACTCTTACTTGCCTATGGCCTTGGGCAAGTTACATATGCTTTGAGTCTCTGCTATGTATAATTTAACTGAAATTTAATTTTAATTAATGTAATGCCACTTTAATTAAAATGGTTATTTCATTTATATGCATATAGTAATCTCTACCTCATAGAATTATTGAGAAATTTAGAGAGAAGATGATGTGATGTGTAACACAGATGGTGGCTCAGTCAATATTAATTCTTACCACTATTATTGAATTAGATTCTAATTAAAATCATGGGAAAATTCCATAGATCTCACCATTTAGGGGATATTACTTTTGCCCGGGGAGTCCTGTCTTAAATCTATGAGATTGGAGTTTATGTTGTTTAAATTAATGATTATGTGAATAGTGCAGTATGAGACTGGCAAGCTGGCGCCTTAGTATTAACATTAGGGTGACTCACCTTTTCATCTTAACATGGAGTTGTTGGGTAGTATTTAGAAAAACCTACGAGGTGAAATTCTGTTTTCTCCACGGATGTTCTTTCTAACCATCTTTTAGGGACATTTCCTGACTTGAGCCTTGGGGAGTTGTAGATAACTCTCCATACCCCTTTCAGCTCCTCACAGGGAAGGTTTTGAAGAAGGTGACATTTGCAGCAAGTAGGTCACCCTCCAAGCCAGCCCAAGGGTGGGGGGGGAGCTTCCTCATTCCTTGCCAGCTTGCTGGCCTGTTGGTTTTTCCCTCCCCCACTGACCTTTGAGGCAGAGAAAGAACATGGTTACAGGATGAGTCATAACAAGCTTATGAGCAAACCAGAGCTGGGTGTTTGTCAACAGAAAGTGGACCGCCCCCTCGTGTCCTCCCTAGACTCCCTGTAGGTTGGCCAGCAGTCAGCATTGTGCTGTCCAACCAGACAGGCACCTCCCTGCAGGAGGAAGACACTTCCAGATACACGCGTAGAACATCACACGCCTTGGCTCCTTCTCTGTGAACTAGGAGGGAGTGTTTCAACCCTCCCTCTTCCTTCTTGTTTTACTAAAACAAATTATACAGATCAGTTTCAGAGTAGAGGTTTGATTGTTTTTCTTTCTCAAACACTATCACTTATGTAGTCTCTCAAAGTAAACTGAGTTTGTGGGCAAATAGCCATGGCCAAAATTTAGATCATTTGGAAGTGTATTTCAACAAAAGGAGAGTCTTATAAACATGGATGAATGATACGTTACCCAATTTAGAAAAATCCTGCATTTACATAGTTCACTTGTAATTAAAATAATCCAAGGAGAATTTTTTTTCTTTCAATTAGCTTCGATTTCCCCTACGGGTTTAACAAATGTTGAGAGAGAAATAATAGTGTGGGCTGTTATCAATGCATGAAATGGTTGCCTTGGAAAGTGAGTGGGCATTGGACTTGAGAAGAGACTGAGGGACAAGTCTGCTACTCTGTCTGTTAGGCCCAGGGAGTCCTGCGTGCTCTGCCTCAGGCAGTTGGGAGCTGACAGAAGGAAGCCTAGGTTCTTAGCACCCTTGGTGATTGCCTGAGTTTCTGGAGACTGTTCAATGGAGTCTTGGACTCTAAGACTAAATGTCTCATTGACTTGATGCAGGTGACCAACTGTAACCCATTGTTCCCTCCCCTTTCTCTTGTAGAGTTGAATGACAGCATGAATGAAAATAGTGACACCGTTGGGCAAATTGTCCACTACATCATGAAGAATGAAGGTATGGCTGTTTTAGTGTTTTGGAACAATTCAGTATTCATGCATTTTATTAAAAACCTGCTTGGAAAAGTCAGGATTTGTATGGCCTGTCCTGTTGCTTTTCTGAAGTTATCGGCAGCACCTTCACCTGAGCTCAGCTTCCAGCGTTGTCCAACCACGAGCATTTCAATAAGTGAGTTTTCTAAGAGTCGGTTGGCCTGAGGGTTGCGGAGTCAGCCCTGGAGGTGACAGTTTATCTTCAATCCTGCCTCGCCTCAATGTGGGGGAAGTTACACTACCTCAGTTCCTCCTTTGTGAAATGAAGGTGATAACAACACTTAGCTCATTGCATTCCTGTGACATACTTGCTGCACATAAAGTGCACAGTATGATAGGCGCTCAAATATTATCTACTAATGTTCTGTGCTTTAAAGAAATTTATGGTGAAATACGCGTCACGTAAAATTTACCATGATATCCATTGTAAAGTGCATAATTCATTGGTATTAAGTACGCTCCAGGTGTTGTACGGCCGTCCCCACTCTAGTTCTGGAACTCCTTCATCCCAAACTGAAGCTCATTAAGCAGCCCTCTCCATTCTCAGCCCCTTCCCCACTATCCACTGGCCACTGCTCTGCCTTCTGTCGTTATGGATTTGTCTGTTCTCTGATCCATTCTTAAGTGTACAAACTTTAAAAACGTTTAACCTTTATGGATTTAAGCATTTTCCCTCTGAGATGTATTCTGACCACTCTACCCCTCCATCTTCTTTAGTGGAGGGGTACCTTAATCTTGATTAGATACATCAGGGTCATTGCCCTGAACGCTGGTTATTATTACCACAGGATGCTTCCATGCCCTCGGTGACTTTTGAGGTTTGTGCAACTCCTTGCCCACATACTCAGTAGCTGCAGATCTCCATCCTTTGAATTCTCATGAGAATTGAAAAGAAAATGTTGTCCTCGGGCACCGTCTTTTCTCCTCGGTGCTGGCTCATATGGTGTCTACTGATGCACTGGGCCAGTTGTCTAGAAGTTGAAATGCCTCTGTGTTGCTAATAAACATCTGCTTTTCTGCCCTGGGGACCCGTGACCCTGTATCCTCTCTATCAATAAGGGCTTCCTCCTGGCCCAGGCTGCCAGTCAGTGTTTTTGACTTAGAGAAGCAGCCGTTTGTTGGGCTTCAGCATAAGTTTCACTGTTCGTTAGAGTGTGCTTAATGTATTTGTCGTAGATCTAGGTGCTTTATATGTGTAATTTCACTTAATCCTCAAAATATCTCTAAAGTTAGTATTATATCCATTTTATAGATGAAGAAACGAAGGCTCCAGGTAGTTGAGTTCACACTGTCAGTGAACAGCATAGCCTGATCTGGGTCTCTCTCAAATGTACAATGTCGCCTCTCCTCTCTTCTAATTTGTAGCTTTCAGTTTCTACAGGATGTTAAACCAGATAACCGGACTTAATAGAATGTTGTTTAACATAAGAGCAAACAAGACCAGAATGCTTGCATTTTAATTTGTCATCCAGAGACCTTCCTTCAGGGAACAATATTTGGTGATGCTATTCTTGACACTCGAGGGTGCATGTTTCTTGCACATAGAGAAGTGGTTTTTAATTTGCACAAGAAATGCACAAACATGTTCTTGGCATAGAAACTTCAGCCGTTACAGGAGCACTCAGAGTAAGGCGTTGGATGACCGCTTCACTACTCCTATGCCCGTGGCTTTGGGGAGCTTGGAGGCCTTTGGGGCCTGGGCTTCTGAGAGCCGAAGCAGCTCCTAGATTAGTGAGTGCTGGATGAGGCGCTGAAGTGATTGAAGTCAGTCACCTGTGGAAACTTTGCCAGGGGCTGAAGTTCTTATGAATAACTTAAAAGTGCGCACTGACTGTTGGCTGCATGCCAGGCCTGTTCCAAGGGCTTTTCAGGGACTAACAATCTGTGATTCAGGTATTTTCTTCCCATTTTACAGCTGAGAGACTGAGGCCCCCAGTGCTTAATTAACTTGCTGGCAAGTGGTGGAGCTGAGACTGGAACTCTGCATCTGACTCCATAGTCTATGCTTAACCAACCACTTGCTCTTACTGCCTCTTTTGTGGTTGTAGGAAATAGGGATGGTAAACTTCCTCCTTCAAAGGGTTCAAGTATACAGCCGGGGTAGTTTGTAAAATTCTGGAAACATTAATGCATTGAATTCTCAGAACTACCTGATGAGGTATGCCCTGTTACCACCCTATTTTGCAGATGAGGTAGCTGAGGATCAGAGGGTAGGAAACTTGCCTAAGGTCCCACAACCGGTGTGTGGCAGGTTGGTGCCAGCAGCGGCCCTGCTCTTGATTATAACCGAGGGGAATTGGGGTCCCTGGAGCAAGCATTCTGTATCATTTCCTCACCTCCCACACTCAAGGGCAAATAGGCCTGTTCTTCTCTTTTGAATTACGCCCTGTGCTTTTGGAGAGTAGCCTCTTTGTTTCAGCCGCCTTGATTCCCGGTGGGTGTGCTGGGGTAATACCCAAGGCACTGTTGTCATTCTTTCTCTCTGCTCCCCCCCGTCTGGTTCTTTACCCTCTCCCCCTGGTTCTTTACCCTGCCTGTGACATGGCCAGCGACCTGTGCGAATGGGGGGATTTTGATCTCTTGTGCAGCCCTTGGCCCTCCTTGGCCACCAGGGGACATCTGATCTCAGAGGACACCCCTTTCCTGTCTGTGGCCCTCTCTGGCTTCAAGCCTGTGCCCAAACCACAGCTGGGTGGCTAGTTACATACTCGGGTCTCCTGTCAGTTAGAACCTAGCCCTTTCAGTGCCTTTGAGACCTAAATCCCCATAGAGCACAGCCTTTTCTACTTTACCTTTGCCCTTGTCATTAAGACTCTGAACCTACTATCAATTTAGACCTCTCTGTTGGTGTTAACTTTATAATTCCTTTTAATTGTAAGCACACCATAGCATAACCTTTAAAATTAAAAAAAAAAAAAAAAAGGAATAAAATTAAGTACAATTCATCCAGTACCATTTCCCACATTTATTTAGGTTTACTTTGCCTATATTTACGTATTTTAAACCATTTGCCATCATGATGTATGACTAGTCTTCTGCTTTGTATCTTTAATTTGACTAATGGAGTAGCATTTCACCTGTACTCATGGTGACCGTCTTGTTTGTGGTTTGAACATATCACGTCTTGAATGTTGCAAATCAGGTTGGTTTAGATGTCTATCTCTTGAAGGATGAATTTCCCAGCCGACTTGAGTGCCGATTATTTTCCTCCTAATCTCAAGTCTTGGAATAACTGCAGCACTTGATTAGTCTCCAAGTGCCCCTGATTATTCACAGTAGGCAGAGGGATCCCGTTATGAAATTCTTACTGCAATTTATATTACGGCAGAAAGGATTCCTTTACAGATTACTGTAGGTCTCTGAAACTTGCCCTAATGGTTATGCAGACATTCTGTCAACCATTGAACTATTAATCGTTAGGGTAGGAAGAACATTGGGGTGACATAGAGTCAGGTAGCCCAGGGTTTGTGTCCAGGCCTGTCACTGTACCTGTGTGACTCTGGCCAGACAGTTATAAGCTTTAGGCCTCAGTCTATGTATTTGTAAAATGGGGGTAATAATTCTGTCTGCTGTCAGAGTTGTCAGGAGAGTCCCACGTGGTGAGGTTGGTAAAGCTTTTACCCAGTGACTGGCACGTACCAGGCACTCTCATTTTGCTGATGGCAGTGGTAGTTCTTGCTTTTGAAATTTGCCTTGATTGTAAGGGAAAACGTTGAAGAGAGTAGTGGTGGGAGAGAAAACGGCTTTTTCCCCCTGCCTGATTTTGATTGCTTTATGCATATTATCAGGCAGAAAGGAAAGAAGAGAGGAAGCATTTCCTGAAAATTTGCTGCCCATGAGAAAATTTCCCCTGTTCTTAACAGGTTTTCTTTCCCCGTAACTCTCTCTTTCTGTTCCCTGGAAACCCATGAAGGGAGCCGTAGTTGACAGAATGTTGACAAGTGTAGGAGAAACGGTCGTTTATGACTTATTGGAGTTATAAGTGATATGCAAGAAGAAGAGATATATTCAGTAGGATTTAGTTAGATTATTGCTCTTTTATATAAGTAATTTTGCAACCGGATTAAAGCATGTGTGTAAGTCCTAACGGTGGTATTATGTTAGAAAGTTTTCTCATCACAGGAAACCAAAAATGTTCCCAAGGGACAGATTACTGAAGTTCACTCCCTGGTATAGATTGGAAGACGTGTGTGTGTGTGTGTGTGTGTGTGTGTCCATCCCACACACCAAACCTCCTCTGTGAGGGTGGGTGTGGATGATATTTGCATAGAAACTCATGTCTACTATTAAAGACTTCCCTCATAGCAAAGAAAGGAGCTGTTCACTAATTATTTCTAAGACCTAAGGGTGAGGTGTAGGAGTACATGAACACATGAGGAACAGCACAATTCTATAAAATGTAAGTTTTAGTAATGATTTTAATATGTTTTAATAATCTTCCAGGGATCATTTTATAATTCGATGTTTCTAAAGGAGGTCATCATTCTACAGATGGTTAATTTTCTCAGGCACCTATTTAAACTTTGGTTTTTGAAAACCCCATTCTCATAAGTGAGTGCTGTTAGTGCTGTCTGTGTCTTAACGTTTTTTGTGGTTGTTTGCCTTCCTTTCTGTTTATAGTTTTGAAGATTGGTAAATCATGGCAGACTATAAGTGTCAACTGGCAAACCCTTTATCTGAAAGAAAATCATTTTTCTGAGTCTTTAATGTTAGTCAAAAGGTAAAATGAGTGACATCACTAGACTATACTTAAATTTGCCTCTCAGGGTAACTAACGTGTGTTCATTGTCATGGGGGAGAAGATACTGACAATCCATTTCAGTACTTTCCTTGTCATGACAAGAGTCTTATTTAGAGCAAAACTTGCATTTGGAAATGTATTAGGGCATCCTCACAGAGTCTTGAAGGGCAAAAAAATATTTCTTTTAGTTTGTTGATTAATATTTCTTTTTAAAAAGACCACATGCATTTGCAAGATTTTGGGGCAAAAAACTTAATATTGATATATAAAACACATATACGTATAGTACACAAAAAGATGTATCTGTAGGGTTATCATTTCATGGGAAGATGATTAGAGAAGAAATGTCAAAGAAGATTCCTGGGTGGGACAACAATGAAAAAAAAAAGTTGAGAAACGCTGTATAAACAATTAAATGGTGAAGTGCAAAAGCAGCAGTTGGAGCCAGAGTTAATTTCCCTCCAGTAGGGGTGTCATCTGAGATGTCACATGCTAAGTGGTGTTAGCTCGCATGGTAAATAGTGACTTTTCATTCTTTTTTTCTAGAGGATTTGTTGTGGTTGGTCATGAGAACAGTGCTTTACAAATCAATGGAAAGGTCAGGAGTCAGTAATAACATCTGGCCTTGCCAGTTAAACACTCGAGAGAAACTTGAGCATCTCTTCAGCCTTCTATCCCTAGGAGCTTGACTGCTCACTAGAAGAGGCTCATGCCTGAGCGGATTGAATGGGGGCCAGAAGCTTAGATTCTGTTTGCTTTCATTGACAGCCATATACAAAATGGATTTAAAAAAAAATTAACATTAAGAGTTTAATTTAACTTAGTCCATATTTGGTATCTTGTATGTGTGACCAGCACTTGAAATTTTGAGCGATCTGGCCTGAGTTACGGTCTTGTGTGATCAGGAAGCAGAGAGAAGCCAAACAACCTACCTGGAAAATTGTATCATGTGGGATTTTGTGTGGGAAGAATTTGATACTCCATGGGTATCCAGAGTTGAGAGGTTATTATTTGGGCACATAGAAATCATTCATGACTATCAGTGAGGATGCCCTAATGCATTTCCAAACACAAGGTCTCTGAAGATGTATTTTATTACATTCTTAGCAAAGTGAGCTGAATGCCCTGGAGCAGCCACATTTAATATTCCCTGTGGTTTGAGAGGACGAAGAAATGTCTTCTGTGTTATATCGTGATGATGTGTAGGAAACAGCTCTCTACTGGATCTGCTTTCCTCTGTGTGGACTCTGTCACTCAGTCCTCAGTTCCCACGTGGTGAAAGTTGTTGGCAGATGGTGCCACATCCTGGCATTACCATAGGAAAGACCCTCCTTCTCTGGGGCCCCAGAGCCTCATCTCTGAACTGAATGAACTCAATCAGGTGTTTTTCCAACAGCTTTCTGATGTGATAATTCTTTTATTACTTATCTTTCTCATGCTATTTTAATTCTTCACATTTTTTCCCTTAGCAAACGCTGATGTTTTAAAGGCAATGGTAGCAGATAACAGCCTGTGTGACCCTGAAAGGTGAGTGCTCCCTCCCTGTGTATGGGACATTTTTTTCAGTTGTCAGCTATAGCAGGTTTCCCAGCATTGGCACAGTTGACATTTGGGCCAGATAATTATTTGCTGAGGGGAACTGCGCTATGCACTGGGGTGCTCAACAACATTCTTGGCCTCTGCTCACTGGATGCCAGTGTCCCCCTCCTTCCAGAATGTCTGGGCACATTGTCAGTGTCCCTTGGAGGCAGATTCATCCCAGTTGAGAATTGCTGTGGTGGAGAATGGTGGTGGAGGAAGTGGACTGGGGACCTGGGTTGAGTCTCACCTCCATGACTTATTGGGCATCTTCTTGGGGAAGTTAACTGACCACTCTGAGCTCACGTTCCATCTTCTATGAGATGGAGATGACCACTGCACCCACTTTACTAGGTTATTATAAGGAATACAAGATATCTCTGGCATTGAAAGACCTCCATGAACAATGAGGATTAATAGGAAACAGGGCTGGTTTGGGGGCACTTGCTAAGTTCTGTTTTTGGACTGCCAGTTTTTGCTTGTTGTTGTTGAGCATCATAGTCCTTCTTAATTAATTATGGAACTGTATTTTTACATAATTTCTCATTTCTCCAATAAGGAGCATTTATTGAGTGCCTGCTGTGTCCTGGGTACTGTCTGGAACTGGGCCTTCAGGTCCGTGGAGGACACGGTCTAGTGGGTGATGGAGACAGTGTGCGCCCTTGTGGTCGAGTGCGTGTGAGTGCTGTGGGAGAAGTAAGGACCCAGGGCTCCATGGGGCCAGCGGGAGGCCAGGGAAGCTTCCAAAGGAGTGCCATCTGAGTCAGGCATGTGACAAGCAGAGATGAGAGGCAGGGGCTGCTTGTAGGCAGAGAAAGTCCAGGATAAAAGGCCCTGGAGCAGGAAAGTGTGGGATGCACCTGGAAAGGTTCAGTCTGGGATGGTCAGAGAACGTGTTGTGGACGTAACAAGAAGGGCCAGGAAGGCATTTTGGGACTGAATGACGTGGCAAGGAGTTTGGACCTTTTTCTGCTTACTCTGTGGGTGGTACACCCAGCGTATTTTATTAATTTAAAAAAAAAATTTTTAAAGCATATATATATGTTTGTATGTATATATATTTAATTGATTTTTAGAGAGGAAGGGAGAGAGAGAAACATCAATTGGAGAGCAAAACAGCAATCAGCTTCCTTCTGCTCACCTCCTACTTCAGGATTGAGCTCACAATTGGGGCATGTACCCTGACCGGGAATTGAACCAGCAACCTTTCAGTGCAACTGAGCCACACCAGCCAGGGCGCACCCAGCATATTTTAAATATTTAATACGTGCTTGTCAAACTGGCCATGTTAGCTTTGCACTTTATCGAGGTAACTCAGTGCAGGAAGTGGTGTTTTTAGACACATATGAGCTATGATTTCTCCCATGTTCCAGCTCTGAGCACAGACACCTGGTGTTAGGACTGGGTTAGCTCATGGTATCTTTGCCTCCGTCATATTTGGGCATCATGTGGTTCCTTTCCTGGGTTTTATACACTGTGGGTATTTGATAAATGTTTGTTGAATGACTGTTGTTGAACTTTGGAATTCAACCTTCTACTGTGTGGAGTTCATTTAACATTGTTTTGCCCCAGAAAGCTGCTGCTGTGTGTTTTTGTTTCAGTGATATAAAGAGCATCCCTAAAGAGCACTGGGAAGGTATTGGTTATCTGTGATATTTGAGAGGATCTTTTAATCATGGGCTGCTGGGCTGCACTTCTTTTTAATGTGCAAGTGGCTATTTCTGCAGCGTAAAGGCTGGTTTGTGCATCATAGCCTTCCATGTGCCTCTGGGGCTCCGGGCACAGTCTTAGGTGTCAGGCTCTGCTGTGACCGGTCGCCTCACCTCTACCCACCTACACCCACTTATACCACGTCAGAGGGCTAGTTCCCTGTCGGACTGGCCTGCCCTGTTTTAATTCCTCCTTTTCCAGCGGACCAGAGCCCTAACGTGTACCTTTTGAAAGCAGCCAATCCCTGGCCTGCATACTTCTTTTTCATATTTTAGATGGTCTTGCTGGATTTCTTCCAGATTATCAAAGTGATCTCCCTGTTTCTGAAGCACTATGTGATGATTAAGGTCATGATTTCTAGAATTAGACTTCTTAGCCTCAGATCCCTTACTTATTAGCTGTGAGACCTTGAGCAATTTATTAAACTCAGAGCCTCAAAATTTTAAAATGAGGAAATTGATACCTACCTCATAAGGTTCTGTAAAGATGAATTAACATTTATCAAATGCTTAGAATACTATGTTAGCTGTTTTTATTATTACTATTGCCAACTCCAGCATTTCTTTTGGGCATCACTTTTGGTATCTCAACCTAAAAGCTTTCTCCCCCCACTTCCCCCCCAGGATACTGATTGTTTTTATTTTTTAGAGAGAGGGGAAGGGGGAGAGAGAGAGAAAAAATATAGATATGAGAGAAACATTGGTTCGTTGCCTCTCATACATGCCCCAACCGTGGACCAGCAACCTAGGTATATGCCCCAGCTGGGAATCGAGCCTGTGACCCTTCTGTGTACGGGATGACACTCCAACCAACTGAACCACACCATCCAGGGATAAAAGCTTTCTCTTTTTTTGATGCAATGGTCAATTGGATCAAATATTCTATCTTTAGTCACTGGATAATTTGATTGGAATTTAAGTTTATCAATCCTCCAGGGTATCTCTTTGCTTAGAAATCTAGGCAGGCACTTTGCTCCTTGTGAGGAATTAGTATGATCGCATGAGAATAGAGATCAGTTTAGGAAGAAACCTAATACTTTAAAGACAAACAGCGTATCATCGTTAGAAGCAGTGGTTTCCTTCCAGCCAGCTAATGCCACTCTCGAGGTGATCAATCACATCATTGCTGTTTAAAACGAGCTGTCACTGCATAGTCCTAAGAGTTGTTTGCTGCCTCAGACCAGTCCACAAAGCTCATTTGTTTTATTGGAAGAGGCATTTTTTTTCCTTTGATTCAAACCTGCTTCTTACTTGGCAGGGGAGAGAGTGCCTTAGCTGGTGTTTCTTTTAAGTAACCAGTTCTACCTTTTTTTCCCTTCCCACCTTAGCCCTGTGACCCCCAGCACTCCTGGGAGCCCACCTGTGAGTCCTGGGCCCTTATCACCAGGTGGCACCCCAGGAAAGCACATCTGTGGCCACCATCTGCACACAGTGGGCGGTGCTGTTGAGAGGGACGTGTGTCATCGGTGTAGGCACAAGCGGTGGCATTTCATAAAACCCACCAACAAGTCCAAAGAAAGCCGCCCAAGGCGTCAAGGAGAGGTCACCGTCCTCTCTGTGGGCAGGTAAGATTCCTGTGGATGCTTTGGGTTTGGGTAACATGGCTGCCATGCTGTGTGGATCTGTACTAGACTGTTAATATCAAGTATGCTCTCCTTAGCCTGGATCAGGCCACATTTCTGGCCTTTTAGGAATTTTTTGTCCAAGTTTTGTATTTCTCTAACAGCAGAGAGATCCTAAGAAGTAGCTATTGCTATATCAGATGCCAGTTGTATTAATTGAGGTAAAACATTAATTACTTGCTGTATTAGGGGTCTCCAGAGAAGAGCAGCCAATAAGATAGATACATATAGATATAAATAAGAGGAGATTTATTATAGGAATTGGCTCATTGATTATAGAAGCCAAGAAGTCCCTATATCTACTGGCTGAGAGCTGGAGACCCAGAAAGCTGGTGGTGTAGTTCAGTCTAAGTCCAAAGGCCTGAGAACCAGCAGATCTGATGGTGTAAGTCCCAGTCTCTGTCTAAAGGCTAAGCCCAGCTCTCAACTATTTAGAAAACAGAAATTTATATTTCACTTGTGGAGATGGAAAGGTCAGTAGGTGGCTCTTCAGGCGGTCACCCAGAGTCCCAAGGTCTTTCCCCCTGTGGCTGAGCCAGGCTCACTAGCAGGAGAAAGTACCCAGAGGGTTGTTCATAAGAGGTTCCAATGAGCTGGGCCTGGAAGGGCACATTTCATTCACTCACATTCTACTGTCTAGAACTCAGATCACTGGGCCACACCTCACTGCCAGGCTACTGGGAAATGTCCAGCCATGTGCCAGGAAGAAAAGCAATGGAACTGGTCCACTGCTCTCCAGTCTGTCGCTTGTCACCTCCATGTGGATCCCTGTCACTGCTTTTCTTTTATCTCACCTCACCTGAGTCCTGGGTTTACATTCCTAAAGTACCATTTACTTGTGACTCATGTGTGATGTGGAGATCTTGCAGTTCAAGTGATGAATCAGTCTGACTATGTGTGGAGCATTTTTGCAGTGTCTGCTGTTTTGATTTTGAGTCTCACGCAGGGACTGCACTGCTAACACTACTTTGGTTAAAAGCATGCGTGCTGGGCCAGGCCAGACAAGCACCAAGCAACAGTGGACAGTAGTGTATACATGGTCCACTTTCGCCACTGACAGACTCTGGGACTCACTGCAGCTGCCTCGTTGAGTCCTGGTACCATGACTTGCAAACGCCTGCTTCTCTCTCTGCTTCATTTCCCCCCTTTGTAAAATAGGATGGCAGTAACATTGCTTCCTTGGGTCGCTGTGAAGACTAAATGAGATGAGTCATGTAAAAGTCTTAGGCCAGTTTTTGGCACTTATAATGCACTCAAGAGTTGGCTGTTATTACTGTTTTTCAAATTCTATTGAATTTCATCATGTTTTGCACAAGCACAAGGGAAAACTGCCGGGCTGTTTGCCCCTTCCAGCAAAACAGTGCAACCCATGACCGCACTGCTTTATTAAGAAGCGGAGTCATGGGAATTTATGAATGTGGAATGCAATGAGAACCTGTAGCTTGCTTAGACAAAGCGTATTTTGTTGGCTTTAAAAGAAAAATCTGCTGAAATTTTCAACTCAGATTCAGCCTGTTTTTGTTTAAATGCCCCCAGTCCGGCTCTCCTTCTTGGATGTAGAATACTAGGAGCGGTCCTAGTATTACTTAGACTGTTACAGAGCAGAGTTCTGGTGACGAGGTTCCCCACCCTCCTCTCACTCCCTCAGCCTCCTCCTGATGGTGGGTGATCTCATTTTGGACAAAGAAGAATTTATTTGAGAGACTTTTAAGGGAACTTAAGGACAGAATTAGAGAGGGGCTATTATGAAAGACTTAGTTTTTCTAATCCATCATCATCAAATCCCTATCAAATTGAGTACATTTCTTGGGCTTCTCTCTTAATATTAATGAAAAATCTCATCCTTAATTTTCTTAAATTTTTCCCCTAATCATAATCTTTAACCCAAAAATTAACCCAAATTTGCTTTAGAAAAGCACAGACAAAAACCCAACTACTATCTAATACTGATAAATACATAGTTGGGGCTCCTCTGGCTCTGTGTGTGTGTGTGTGTGTGTGTGTGTGTGTGTGTTCACTCATCATTCCTGTTTGCTAGGAGAGCAAAACACATCACATCTCCTCTTTGCCCCCTCAGGTTTAGAGTCACAAAAGTGGAACACAAGTCCAATCAGAAGGAGCGGAGAAGCTTGATGTCAGTTAGTGGGACTGAGAGCGTCAATGGGGAGGTGCCTATGACACCTGTGAAAAGAGAACGAAGTGGCACAGAGTAACAGGTGAGTTGTAGTTTGGGTGACATTGGGGGTGGGATGGTGCATGACAGGGAGAGGGCACTGAGAGCCTCTCTGGGGTGTGGGGGAGCATAGGAATGTCTTGGCAGGGAAATGAGCGTGCTTTCCTGCAACTGGTCGGACTGGAGAGGACTGAACGTGATTACTTGTCTGTCCAGAGCTGCTTATAAAGAGGCCACAAACTGGGGTGCCTCCAGGGGCTTGGCCTGCATGATAAAGAGGAGAAAGGACTACTTATGAGGCAATGTGGAGTGGTGGGGATTGTGGCAAACCAGAAATCACATAACCCACCTGTAGGGCTTACATCACCACAAGGCAGAAGGTACTTAGTGTTGCTTAATCTTATGCAAAAAAAAGGTGAAAGTCTAGGCTTTTTAAATGTGAAATCATTGCAGGTTTTTAAACATTAGCAGCATATTAAATTTCCTTTAAAAAACCATGCAGGCCAAATGAAATACAACCTTGTCGTCATTTCTAGGTAAACCGTGATTTGTTAAAGGCTAGAGCAAGCTTCTTCCATTAATTGAATTGGAAACCAGTTTTCTTTAATGTGCATAATTCTAAAATACCCCCAGTAGGAATATCACTCTTTCCACCACATATTTTGAAGCAATTTCAAAGCAAAACTAAAGGCTTTTTGGTTTGGCAATTTTAATTTTGGAAGATACAGCTTTTAAAAAAAGCCTGTGATGAATTTGATATTGTCTTAGCTTTTATCTTACTCTTTTCTTTCTGTTTTGGCTGGAGTAGCATTCATCCATTTCATGTTTCTTATTATACATAAAAGGGTGAGTGTGAGGACTCAGGAGTGATCGTGGTCCAGAGCTCTGGAGAGAGCCTGAACATGAAGGCAAA